ACAAGCCTCAGATGCTCGACAGTCTCGGGAATTTCGAGACCGCTGCGCGAAGGCCTTGAAATCCATGTCAACGCATTTTGTCGTTCTTCTGGGCTTGTTCTCTGATCTTTCCGCGATGACAGCGTCATTTCTTCGGCTCTTCGATGCCGACTGGCATGACTGCGCCGAGACTCGCAGTCAGATACGTGACTTCTCAGACAGGCAGCGCCAGTGTTACAGAGTTTCTTTCAATGACGATTGGCTTGCTTTATGGGAATCAATCAACGTTCTTCATATCACCTAAGTCTAAAGTTGCCTTTTAAAACATGTTGACGTCTACCGTCTGACAAGTTGCAAGGGTGATCGGTTGGCTCATGTGACTCACAGCATGTGCGTTGCGCAGAGCGCATTTGGCCTTGACAGGTTGAGGAGGCTGTTCCTGGATGGCCGCATCCTCGAGATGCAGCCGGGAGATGAGGAGAGTTGTACGCATTGCGTGGTACGCCAAGCCATGCAAGCAGGGCCCATCTTCTATGGAGAAAGTCAGCATTTCTTGTGGGACCCCAAGACCAGAAAACGTGACTACTCAGAGGCCTTGCAGGCGTGCGCCACTGTGGTCCAGCTGATGCTGGAAAGACTTCAGTGTGAATTTCCTCCTTCAAGCCTTGAGATGTGCTTCAGTGTTTTTTCAGTCAATGAGGCAGCAGCTGAACAAGCGGCTGGTGTCCAGACATGGCAAACCTTCGAGGTTTCAGCTGAAATCCGCGTCCGCAAGCTGCTGCGAGAGGGCCTCAAGATCACTCATGATCAGACCATTCACCGAGCCTTTCGCGACTTTATGTCCTCACTGCACCGACTCGTGGCTCGCGCCAGAGACATCTCTGACAACCGAACTGGCTGGGCAGAGGAGCGCCTGAGTTCTTCTGGATGTTCGGCCTGGCATGAGCTCATCTCTTTCTACCTTGCCCAGGAAGATGGGAGCTGTCGAGTTGAGCGAGCACACGCACACGGCAAGCGTTTGTTGCAGAGCCATGCAGGCCCTCTGGAGGGCACTGGAACTTCCTATAGTGACCTCTTGGAAGTCAAGCTGGACGGACCATCATGTGCTGAAGAGATTGCCAAGCAGTCTGCACAGGGCTTGGAGATGACCGAGTTTGCTCGAGAATTTCTGCAGGCGTGGAGGTTACGGCATGGGGCACGGTTTCGAGTTTACAGCCAAGGTCGCAGGAAGGGTTGCCCTGGAGCCCAGAGAAGTCGCGATGACAGTGATAGGGCCTTTCGTGCTCGGCAACTCAGGGCCATGCGCGCACGCTCTGAACGAGACCGTGACAACGCGCAAGGCGAAGCATCGTCTGTGTTGCCTGGCCTGACGCAACGCGAAGCCGCTGAGTGCACAGGCGAACGACCAGCAGCTGACGCCCCAGGCTTGGTGCGCTTTCGAACTCGCAGCCAGTTGATCAAGAGCAACAATCGAGAAGCTGCTCGGCATCGACATTCGAACCCAAGAGGGCCGGCCTTCAAGAAGCCCAAGCTGGAGAGAGGCAACAATTTCTCCCAACGTGATGCGACTACCGACCCAAGTGAGGACATGGCAAAGTTCTTGCTCAGCTTGAAGCGTTTGAAGCTTGTAGATGCCTGCCAGGAAGCATGTCCAATGCCTGACATTCAAGGAATCGACTTCCGTGTGCGCCGTGTGGGTGATCATGACGGAGGTTTTATGACGTTCTGTGCCCAGTCTCATCTTGTAATTCTAGATAGTCTGGATGAACTGGCTTCGAAGCGAGGAGGAACGTGCCTTTTCCAGCCTTGGCGGATTTTCATGTTTGGTTAAGTATTATGATTCTGATTCTTGTGTGTTTGCAATTTGTTGGGACGAAGGTCATTGCAATGGGTGAGAGTTGCACGCATGCTCAGGTCTCAGATGTGCAAGATTGCTTGCACAATTGCAGCCTTCGGTCTAGCCTGCATCTCCAAGCAAAATTGGTGCAAGTTTGCTGAAGGAGGACGCCTAGAGGGCATCATATGCCACAAGAAAAGTTTGGCTGACGACTTTGTCATCGTTTGTGATTTCGAGGAAGCAGAATCTGTGCATTGCGAAGAATTTGTCAAGCAGTTAATTCAAATGTCCAATGGCTGGCAATGGTTCCGATCCATGGATGAGTACAAGCGTGGCGCAAAGGCCAAACCCAAGCCAAAGGCAAAAGCTGTCGCAGCCAGGTGGAAGCGCAGGCGAGGGCGGCCCGGGCCTGCATTTGTGATCAAGCTGGAGGAGACCCTGACGAATCATGCTGCTTTGTGGAAGCTCTTTACACAGATCCGCCGCATCCACCGTGTGCCGCAGTTGCAGCATGCCTCACTTCAGTGACCAGTAGCCGTCTCCCGCATGCAGTGAACAGCCTGCCGCCTGCCGCCTTCCTTTAGTTCTCCGCCCTCCGCTTGTTTTTTGGGAAACATGGCCATGCTGAAAGTAGCCGGGGCCATAAGAAGATGTCAGTTGGCGTGGGCTCGGGTCAATGTCAGCCCGGCTGGCTATTGAACAAGTGCCCCTTGCGCCATTCAAAAGATTTTGCTGTGCGTGGAGGCCCAGGTGGCTTTGGAAGAAGCTTTGCATGCCGTGTTGCAACCCGGGCCCAACAAGCGAACTGGTTTCCCTGCTGCCCTTTACTCGCTCAAAGCACCCATCAACCCATCAAAAGCACCAGAAGTTTGAAAGCCTCATGTAATCCCATCAGTAGTATCTTGAGTGAGTGAAGCTCTGCGGCCAGGCCCTGGACGAGCTGATCAGCCTTAGCGGCAGCAGTGCCGTTTTTGGCATGCCCTGCTGTGTGTGTGTGTGGGTCGGGGTGTGGCCGAGGGTAAAGATAGAGAAAACTGAAAGCTACTTGGTCGTACTTCTTAATGCCCTTGTCAAGCCTTCGTTGCAACCATAACAGTGTGGCAACGCGAGCTTTGTAAAGATTGCATGTCCTGGTAGGCTAGGCATGTGATTAGATTCCTTGTTGACTAACCCACTCAACACACGCCCGCGGCAGAAATATGCAACGCGTTGCTGTCGCGCGAGCGCACAAATCAATGTATATGCCAATGTAGCACGCGCTTGCGCCGATGGTCGTGTTCTGTTTTGATGTGCTGGGCAGTTGCTTGCGTAGCTTTGCCGTCATCCTGTCCTGGCGCAGTGCCATGATGGAACATGCCAGCGTGCGCGCCTACCTGTTGTGTGCTTGTGCTTTTTGTCATAGTTATTGCCTGCGAAGTGTTTGCGTGAATGCTGGAACGCAGTGGGCACATACATTATGTCTTGTGGAAAGTGACCAGTGTTGGATCCTGATGGTTTCCACTGATGCAGCAGTGGGCGCTCCAAATTTCAGGGTTTTGCTAATATTTTTCGCCTGGGGGCTGAAGCCATCCTAGAACAGGTGGCTCGGAGTGATTTATCCGCTGCAAGAACCAGGGCCAAACCACCAAGTTACTTGATTCAATTGGCCGCGCCAAGGTCGTAGGGTCCAATGCAAAAGTTTGTAGCAACTACACAGAGCAAACTGGGTCATGGCCCCTACTCATTCCCAATAAGGAGCACTCCAGAGAACCCCGGCCACTTCCTCCGACGCCCTTGGAAATTACCAGGTTAGAGGGCCCAAAATCAATGGGGACCCTCAGGGGAAGCAAAAATGAACCGAACGAAAGAGCAAGCAAACAAACACCACACACAACACCCAAACTACGCAACCGAAACAAATACAAGCCAAACAAACAAACAAACGAAGGATCTGCCAGGAACAAAAACACAAATGTCCCATCCTTTTTGGAGGTTTTCTATCTTCAGGCCACATAGCTGGCAATCAGTTCGGCTTCTAGTCCACTTTGAACGCTCCGAGCATTCATTGCTTTGCTTGTTTGAGGTGTGTATAGCGTCAACACTGGGCGAGGTTTTTCATGCCCCATGGCTAAATACTGGTGTAACAGTAGTTGTGGGCAATGTGCATGCGCTGCATGATGCAGCTGCTCCAGCATGAAGCAAACAAGACCTACAGGGCACTATAGGATTATGATGATGAGGAAGCACAGTTTGAATCCAGGATGTGTGGACAAAACCTTGTGCAAACGCCTCGTTGTTCAATATATCGGAAAAATGTACTGGTATCTATGTCTTGGTGAGTGCCAGTATTTTCCAGCTTTTGCAGGGGAGCCCCTTCTTGACTGCAATGCAAATTGCAGCGGAGCTGAGAGACATGAATGTCTCGAATGGCGTGAACGTTGAGCGGTGTTTCTCGACGTCTAAGGGTTTCCGGATTGCACGCAAGTGTGGCTCCCATAGGCTGAGCCGGGATTCTGCTGGTTCGTTGGCATTTTAGGTAGCTTTCCTAATCTATTTGGTCCAAAGCCGACCCTTTGACCGTTCGGTTTTCCTGTTTTGGTCCGTATTTAGTCAAGGCTTCAAAAGGTTAGCCTTGTATTTCCAGATCTACAAGTGCGTAGCAGCCCCAAGACATCTCTCGGCAATTCTTGAGCATGTCCAGCGCGCTAACCCGTCTTGGGGCTGAAGTACTGCTGTTCAGGGACCAAATCCTGCGCCAGTTGGTACAGCTTCATTTTTGCACAGGAAGTTCCATGATTGTTTTCGTTTCCAAGATTATGGACCAGAGTGTAGATGGTTGGTCAACAGCTATGGGTTTCATCGTTGCCTACGGGTTCCTGACGTGGGGCGCGCTTCTTGGGCTAAAAGGTCACCTCTCTTGGGCCAAAAGGTCACCTCCTGTAGCCATAAAATTACAAGCCCAAGTCATCCTAGATCCCGACATGGGCTTCGCTTTTGCATTTTTTAGGGCAACCCCAAGCAACCAGCCTGGACAACACAAGCCTAAATCCCAGCTTTTTTTTGCGGGGGCTTGTTTTTTTCCCATTAAAGGTGGTCCCAAACAACCAGCCTGGTTAGAGGGAGGTCCCAGTGGTCCTTTGGGCAAGCGAGCCAAACAAAAAACAGCAAAGCCACGACCCGCGCCGAAGCTCTCTCGTTGCCTCAGGTTGGGTCCCATCGGCTCGGAGGCTTTGCCGCCCGCGGCCCTGCGCCACTTGCTGCGCGCCCCGAACCCGCGCGGGGCCTCGGGCCTCGGAAGTGCGGGGAGACGGACTCGGCTTCGGGGGCGACTGATGTTGATCCCAGATTTCATCAAGCCCAGGTTATTAATAGAAATGGGTTTAGAGGAGAATGGTCAGTGTTGGAGGGGGTCCCCACCCTATTTTTGGGGAGGTTTATTAATCCGGGGTCAATATAGGTAGCCCTTCCAGGTCCTCACTTTGTCAGATCCCTACCTCGGTAGACCTTTCAGCTCTCAGCCCCTTCACCGCCTGGGCAATTCGGCGCCTTCTCGTTTCTGGTGTGGATTTGTTTGGGCATTTGAACCCTCAAATCCTCTTGAAACCATGCCAGCCCCAGCCTCCACCAATCGCAAGCACCAGGTAGACAGTTAGAGGTACGGTTATGTAAGAGGCTTGGCAACTTCGAAGACCATTTCCAGCGCAGGTGGGACGTTTGGTTTCCTCCTTTCCCGGTGCTTTGTTATTGATTGCTTTCGCTTGGGCTATGCAAGTTGGGTCACCTAAAGGGTTTCTGTTCTGCATGGAATTTGTTTGGATGCTTCCTTTGATGGAACGCAATTGATGGTTTGGGAGTGCAGCATTGTAAGGGTTTACAAGTTTTATGCAGTACATGTATCGCATTCCGAGTTGCATGCATAGTATTGTGCTGTGCTGCGATCTTATTCAGACATTTGTTTGTTTGCCTGTGTGCGCTGTTGATGCTTGCAAGTGTTGATTTTACTGTGCGGCCAAGTTTGCTGTCATGCGATTTGCGCTGATTGCTTGCCTTGCATTGTATTGCTTGGGTTGGCTTGGCTTGCTTGGCGTTCACGTGTCAGCGCTAGTGTGCCTCTGCCCGAGAAATGCTTGCTGGATGTGCTTCACCTAACGGGGCAGAGAGGGAGAGAGAGAGAGAGAGGGAGGAAAAAGCAGAACTTGGCATAGCAATGTTACTGTTTCTTGTGCCACGCTCGCAAGCAACCGATCTACGGCCAAGTAGCACCCTCACTCGCCCATTGCCTTGTGGAAATGTCTCCCCTTTCTTTTTGGGGCAGGACCCACATCATGGCAGAAGCTCATGTCTAGCAGTGCTTTGGATTTCTTGGCAAGCGAATCACCCTAGAAAAGAACCCTTTCAGATGTTTGGGCATGTTTCCAATTGATGCATCCCCTTTCATACTTCTGACTTGTGCAAGGGGTAGGGAAGGAAAGGAGAGTGAGGCAAGGAAGGACAGAAAGAAGGCACGATGGATGCCCTCAATATTGCAAGGGGGCAAATTGGCCCAACCCTGTAAATTCATGACTTCAACCATGGTTTGTGGTTGCTTTACTTGAAAATATCCCTAACTACTTTATGGGTACCAGATTTGGGGGGGTTTAGGTCTGGGGGGGTTTTGCTTATCTCGAATTATCTCAAATTATCTCGAAAACTGTTTCAATTGCCCTGGCCACTTGTTTTTTTTTTTGAATTTTGTTGTACCCATGTTCGTTGTTTTATTCTTTTCTTTTTTTTCTCTCTGTATGTGATCATAAATGACTTGCTTGACCGGAGCTGCATGTTCTATGTGAAGCCATCATTGTGTGCATTTTCATGTTTCTGTTTCTCCAAACCTGGAATTGTCACCAAAATAATGGTATAAGTCAAAAACCGGGTATTTGCCTGGCAAACCCGGATTTTCCAGAACGTACCGACATACAAGGGTTTCCCATTTGCACCTGTAAAATGAGAATATATTTGCTTAGAGGGTATCACTGTCATTTTGGTGAAATATCAATGGAATTTAGACGGAATGTTGATGGGACTCTGATGGAATTTGATTGGGGTTTGGTAGAATTTTGCTGGGTTTTGATTGAATATTGATGGGGTTTGATGAAATTTTGGATGGGGTTTTGAGGGAAGTTTGAGGGTACATTGATGGGATGTTGACATGATTTTCAGGGAAGTTTGCTGGAGTTTTGAGGGGAATTCGATGTGATTTTGAGGGACAAGGGAAGGATGATGGAATTGAGGGAATGCCGAGGGAACTGCGGATTGCGAGGCAACGTTGCGGGAATTTTGAAGAAATTGTGAGGGAACCTTTGGGGGGGCTCAATTGCCAATATTAGCAAAGGGTACTACCCCAAACTACTTCCAATTCTCTCAAGTCATTGCAAATCATTTAACTCTCACCCCCAACTCTACCTCAAACTATCTTAAAATTATCCCAAATATCTCAAATTATTTCACATTATACTTCAAATTATCTCAAATGATCTCGAATTATTTCAAACTCTCACCCACATCTATCTAATTGTATGTTCCTTTATCTTATTTTATCTCAAATTATATCAAACTCTTACCCCACACCCTATTTTTTTTTTATCTTATTCTATCTTGTGTTTATCTCATTGCTTTTTTTAATCTTAAATCATCTCAAATCATCTCAAATTATCTCAAACTATCTCAATTCGTCTTATGGTTGCATCTTATGTGACATATGTGCAAAGAACGGATAAAACAAGATTAAACAAACACGAGAGATAAACCGTGCAAACACATGCAACAATGTGCCGAACAATGCAACCAATACAGCATAGTCATATGCACACATTATCTCACATTTATCTCAAAGTATCTCAGGGATGTTGATGGAATTATGTCGGCATTGGGTGGTATGTTCGACGGACATTTGCGGGACATGGGAGTTGTTTCTTGGTTATTTTGATGGACTGTGATGGAACTTTGTTGGGGTTTGATGGAATTGTGATGGTATGTTGAGGGAAGCTTGATCAAAGTCTGATGAATTTTGAAGGGAGTTTGAGTTTGAGGGAAGGTTGATAGACATATGTGAATGTGCGGGAATTGTGATGGAATTTGAAGGGAAGATGATGGAGTTGCGAGGGAATGTTAGGGGAATTGAGAAGGAATTTCAAATGAGTTGTGAGGCATTTTTGCGGAAAATCTAATTAGAGGAATTGCGGGGAATTTGTTGGGGGGCCTGTTCGTCAATTGTTGGTATTGACAAAGGGGCTACTGCAAAACGAGGGCCGTGCATCTGAAAAAAACAGCAACTTAAGCGGTTTGCACAGAACAACTGAGGTCTGAATGGCCATAGGTTCAAAACGCTTGAGGGTTGCTAACGTGAAGCTGGCTTTCACTTAGATGATTGGATTTTTGAAGCTTGGAATTTTGAGTCAAAGTTGCGGGCGCACATGCATTGGACAACTCAAAACAACTGAGACAATGTTTTGGTAAACGCGTCAAACTGCTGACATGCATGGTCAAATGGTAAAAAGGCGGGCCACTCAGGGAAAGAGATGACAGTTATACAATCCTTGACTTCTTATGCTTTATCTCTTATCTTAGATCACTCAGTGAGACTGCACTGACACAGCGGCTGCAGAGGGGGAAAAAGACAATAACTATAGCATGAGTGATAAACAGATTCAAATTATAAATGACTGTGCTGTGGTTGAATGGTGGTAATGCATTTGCCTAACAAACAGATTCAATTTATGAATGGCTGTGCAAGGATTGAATGGTGCATATTCTTGCATGCGTTGCATGCTTGCATGTTGTTGATGTTCTGTTTTTAGCGTGTGTGTGTGTGTTGCATGTGTTTGCACATTTGTTGCATTTGTGTTGCATCTTGTTGCAATTGTTGTGATTGTTTGCTTGTTTTGTCTTGTGTTTGCTTGTTTTATCTCTTGTTTATCTTGTTTTATCTCTTTTTTAATCTTGCTGTATCTCTTCATATATATATATATGTATATGTATATATTATTTTAGCTTTGTTTGCACTTGAGATGCAAATATAGGATAACTTGAGATAATTTAAGATAACTTGATATAATTTGAGGTAAGGTCTGATCCCCGCAAATCTGGTACCCATCTTGTTTTTAATGAATATATCAATCGGCCAGCCGCCCTATGTGCCAAACAAGTGCCAAAGGACGCCGGAACTCGACCCCTCTGAGGGACTGGTTCCAGCAGCTGGCCGAGCTCGGCACTCAGTTCAAAGCGAATCGACCCTTTCTCCCGTCCATAGAACCCACCAGAGGGTCCCTTTAAAAGGAAAATAGTCTTTCAGGACCCTGGAACGTCAGGTTAGGAGGGTAACCCCTTCTGGGTTTCTTTTGTTCCATTTTTTGGTCAAGGTCCCGCAAGGTGAACCTGTTTCATCCTCGTTCATGTCTGGGTCCCCAAAGGGCAACTGGGCGTAGATTCGCATTCTGCATGTTGCGAACTAGACTTGCACTGAGCAGGTGCGATTTGCGAGCTTGATAAGTGTAGAACACGCAATACACTGCAAAACTAGATGGTCCCCGCGTTGACTTGCTCAATGTTGTCGTAAAACGAGTCTAAACGAGCCCAACACGATATATCACACATTATCATACCAATTTTTGCGTTGCGGAAGACAAGAAAAAAAGTCGGCGCTCGCATGGAGTCCCCCCCCCCAAAAAAAAAACACACAAGAATCCTGCTCGGGGGAAACTTATTTTCCTTTGAACTCTTCTTCTGGTTTCCTTTCTTGCAGCGGTGTCTAACTACGGATTACGGATTCGGTTCCCCGCAATGCTAAGCCATGAATGAGTGACAGCTGCAAACGACCATGGTTGTTGTTGGGAAACATTTTACATTTGTGCTTATTGTGGTTTAGTGGGACATGTCACTTAACTGCGAAGATTATTTTGTTTGCTCCCCTTCCAACGTCAACCAAGCGACCTGACGCTTCCCTTCGTGAGGTGTTTCCTGTCAGACCAGTTTTCAGAACCTGTGGGTGTGTCTCAACGTAGGGGAGCCCCAGGACATGGCTTCCCTTTGGGTTTTAACGGGGGTGCCCTCAAAAAAGACAAGGGAACACCCTTTGGTTTGCCGAATTTGGCGACCAGTGGTAAGATGTGATGTTCGGGTGTTTTGGGCTGGACTCGAACCATTTAAAGACAAGCCAAAAGGAAGTCT